GTACTTCCTCCTTGGAGGTGGGAGACATTTCTCTCTCTCTGCCACTCCCTGGCAGACATTGCAGCTGACAAGACACATGGAACTACCCTAGGGCCCTGAGCCTGACAAGCCACATGGGTGCAACCAGACCTCTGAAGCCAGAGAAGCCACAGAGAGACCCCTGGAACTAAGCACACCAAATTGCAAAATGTCCTGGAAATAGTAGATTATCAGCTGGATTACACAAGTTTCAAGTTTATGTACCATGTTAGTTTTGTATATTCGGAAAGCCAGTGTGCCAAATTTAATACAAAACTAATCTCCCTTAATTAATAAAAGATTATGTTGTGTTTAGAATACAGAATACAAAGGAGAGTACTGGGCAGAACATCCCACAATTAAAATTTTTTGGGAAGTATTTCACGAATTACCATTGGAAAAGAAAAAACAGTTTCTGTGTAAGTATTCTTGACTAGTTCTATATGTTATTGAGAATGGAATCTAATTCCTACATAATAGTAATTTCATGGATCCATTTTCATGTATTTTTAATATTATTCCATGGCACTGATTATAGTCAAGATAATTTTTTAGCATAGCTAATCTACATTCTTTTTTTTTTTTTTTGCTTAATCTACATTCTTTATTACGTGTTTATTTCCAAAGTTACTTTGCCTCCAAAATAGCATTGCTTCTTTCAAATAAAAAACAAACTATGGCAGATTAGGGGCCAGTTCAGTGTCCCTCAGACCTGTTGGAGGGCCAGACTATAGTTTAAAAAAAAACTATGAACAAATTCCTATGCACACTGCACATATCTTAATTTGAAGTGAAAAACAAAACAGGGCAAAAACACCCAGCGGGCTGGATAAATGTCCTCGGCAGGGCGCATGTGGCCCACAGGCCATAGTGTGAGGACCCCTGCTTTAGAGTTATATAACTGTGTGTTCTTTGCTCCAGCATCGGAAAATGGAAAATTTCTATAGAAGGCAGAACTTTCTCTTCCAGGTCATAGCTCCCTCATTTATAATCTAGTATTTGTGTCGTTGATCTATTGAAATGACTTCTCTTAAAGGTATTCTGAGTTTTTTAATCTAAATCTCTGATGCTATTCCTGATGTTAATAAATATTTAGCAGTGTCTTTTTGAGAATTGATAAGAAGTTTTAAATTACTTTGCATATGAATATCAATATTGGCAAGTCAATATTCTTTGAAAGTGATTTGCCTCTTGGCTGCCCATTAAAAGAATTTTTTTAAACCTATACAGAAGCATTAAAAACTGCATATTTGTATTTTTAACTTGAAACCCATTCCCAGAATAGTTGCCAAAATTTTTTCACGATTAACAGTCATTCATTTAAAGTTGTTAACCACCTCCTGTGTGCCAGTTTTCAGATTATGCTTTTTAAGGGGAAATCTTATTTGCATGTTAATAGTATGTCTCGAAAATCTTGTCTACTAAATAACAGCATTTGGTATTGTTTTGAGAAAACGATTGACTTGTTTTTTTCTGGCAGTGTTCTTGACAGGGAGTGATCGCATCCCTATTCTTGGCATGAAGAGTCTGAAACTAGTCATTCAGCCAACGGGAGGTGGTGACGACTATCTCCCAGTTTCCCACACGTGTTTTAATCTTCTGGATCTTCCAAAATACACAGAAAAAGAAACTCTGCGATCTAAACTGATTCAAGCTATTGATCACAATGAAGGCTTCAGTTTAATATAACTTTGGAATTATTGTAACTATTGAGTTTAGTGCAAAAGCATTAAACTATTTGTGTTATTCTTGTGGTAATGAATTCAACAAGGTGACAGAGGTACTATTATAATTCTTACTTGCAAAATGTTTAATGCTATTCACAAGTCAAAAATTCCTAAAGGAAAATGCATAAACTGTCAATATCAATGTTATTGTACAGAACATGGATTCTTTTGCCATCTTCCAATAAATATCTAAGTTGTGAATACATTAAAGTTTTACAAACTGAATTTTAAGAGTTTGCATATTTCAAAAATGATTGGTGTGTGAGTGCATGGGAATATTGCTTAGTTTTTCTTCAATCACTGGGTGAAAAACCTTTAACTTTGGCCTGCAATAATAGCATTTTGATTATTTTTTTCTCACTTTGTAAATAATGTTAAGTTTTGTAATAAAATAGTTATGTTCTGATACCAGTACAGTTTCTATGGTTGTGATTGAACTGATCTGACTTTCTAAAGGAAAAAAGTCATACTGAAAAAAGCCTAGGTAAGCATGAGAAGAAATGGCTTGTAGTTCTTTACTCTCTTGTAAACAATGAGATCCTACTCTTGGGAGGTTATTTATCCAAAAGCTTAATGATTTAGTAGTGGGAAGACTTTATGCTACATATCCCAGGAATAGAAACATTTGCTACTATGAGAACCAATCATGGGTCTACCTTTCAAAATGATGGATACTTCAGGTTAGCAGTCGGTCACAGTTTCTACAATTCTTTAGAACTCTCTTTGCATTTTTATGGTCCTGAGTCCTAGTTATCACATTCTATTGTAAAAGTGAGTTGTGACTTTCGGCTGTAATGCAAGTATTTTTAGATTTTTTTAAATGCCATGAAAATGGTTTAATAAAGATTTGTTGGTTTAACATATTAACTTCCATTTTAAATATGTTCCATTGTAAGACCCTAGAACATTTGTAATTACCTGTTTCCATTTCCATAGAAATTTATTTTGGTCTGGGTGCTACCCCAAACCTCAGTGAGGTGCTATATAATATGCAAAATGTAACTGCGAGGCCAAAGGCTTCCAGGTAAAAGATTATGTTCCTGTACTTTTTAGTTTTAAAAAATGTAAAACAGGTGTTATGTAGATGTTGTGTTTTTTCATGAGTAACTTTAATGTGCTCTGAAGCTGATCTCCAGACAGATATTTTAACAAGGAGCAACCCAATACAAGATTTGAATATTACTGACAATCTTTTCCTTCTCCTGTTGCTAGATTACGATGCAGTAGCATTAAGAGCAATATCCATGATCGAAGGCTAAATAGTAAAGACATTTTGAACTGTCATGTTTTATTACAGTAACAATATCATGCTGAATATCCTAAATTGTTGAGTTGGTCGGCAAGACATTCAGGGGCTGCAGATCCCATTTTAATTTCGTAGTAATGCTCCTAGATTTTTTTGTTGTGTAAACCTTCTTAGCAGGCATTTCCAGGGAGAGATACACAAATTTTTTGAGCCCTCTACCCATAGGGCACCCACCAAAAAAATTTTTGGTAGTAATTTTATCCAATAGCTATTGTCCGGACTGATGTAAAAGGCAATAGAACCAGCACTGTGACCTCCTCCCTGGGGGACAGACAACCGAAAAGTGGATGGAGGGAGACGTCGGACAGGGCAAGATATGACAAAATACCCATTTATAAACTATCAAGGGTTCATGCGGGATGGGGGAGCGGGGAGGGAGGGGAAAAATTAGGACCCAATGTCGAGGGTTTAAATGGAGAGAAAATGTTTTGAGAAACGATGTACAAATGCGCTTTACACAATTGATGTGTGTATGGATTGGGATAACAGTTGTATGAGCCCCTAATAAAATGTTAAAAAAGAAAAGAAAAAAAAATAGTACAAGGGTAAAAAAAAACAAACAAAAAAAACCCGAATGCAGCTCTAGATTGGACTAGTTAGCTTTCTCAGGTTCCAATCTTAAGGATCAGTTCACATAGCCTATCCACTTTAAGGCAGAGTAAGCTCCATCTGTCAAATGTTCCTGCTTTTATGTATTTTGATCATCCAAAATGAATTATTTTCTTTCTTTACTAAAGTTCCCTATTTCATTAGGTATCCACTCCTTGCCATTATTTGCTTATAGGACCCAATTCACCTAATCAGTGAATTTCTGGAGGTAAATTTGGAAAAAGGTGGTTTATTTCCATATGGCTCAGTCTACCTATCTGGAATGGCCTCCAAACCTGAGTTAGAAGCAAACTCTCTTTTCCAGCTAACAGTGGCTCTTAACACTATATTTTAATTACCTGAGGGCATATTTTCATACTATACCACAGCCCCACCTTAGATGCAACTGTCTCTTTTAAGAGGTTAAATCTCAGGTCACTTGCACTCAAACTCCCTAGGTAATCTTTTAAATTTCTGTTGAGCATTTTTAGAGGACAGTTCAGTGTACACTTTAAGATTACAGGTCTAAATGAAACTTACCAATAAAATTAGGAAATGATGTAAAGGGCTTAAAGTACCGTATATACTAGTATATTTCAGCACATTTTTAATGCCATTTTTTGTGGTAAAATTAGGTGCTTCAGCTGACATTCAGGGCAGCTTATATTTGAGTGTATATGGTACATGATTTTTTATGTGCTTCTAAAAGTGCCAAACCAACTGCCATTGATTGGGGTATTAGTAAAATATATGTACAATGAAGGTGTTATATTTTTTAAAATTATGCATCACCTGAGGTAGGAACTCCCTTTTCCAATGTGTGCTCCTAGAATCTCACTGTGACTCATTTGTGTAACATCACAGCATAAGGTTTTACAGGAACTGTTTCAAAGCGCAAACAGGGCATACAGAGGGCCAGTGTCAGGGAGGCAGAAACCTGGGAGCAGGGAATTGCCAATTAATGCCTTATCCAAGTACTTGGTTCCTAACATTGTTACAAGTGCCTTGCAGGTTCTTCTCCCAGGTGTCGATAGTCGTCCACTATGATCTTAGATGTAGTGCCAAAGAGTAATCCTCACAGCTAACCTGACCTTTGTAGTGCAGGTTCTTACAAAACTTGTGTATGAATGTTACAAAGTCCTGTGGTAAGGCTAAAGTAACTAACTGAACAAATGTCCACATGTGTACTTAGAATCAAACCCATGGCCTGCCATAAACTCAATTCCAACTACAAGGTGACTTTGTGTAAAGAATTGTGCACCATAATAGGTTTTCAATGGCTTTTTTTTTTCTTCCCAGAACTAGATCAGACTTTTATTCTGAGGTACGAGTGGACCCCAACCACCAACCTTTCCGTTCAGTCAAGCATGTTAACAGCTTGCACTACTGCACTACCCAGGGTCTTCAAGTACTGAGAAGAAAGAATGCAAGACAGCCCCTCAAGGTTGTGCAAATTCTTCTCGCCCCCCCCCCCAATTTATGTAAGTTAACAGAACAGAAGTCAAATGACAATTTTAATATACTTTAAAACAGTGTACAAGTATAAAACACTGGTTTTGTATTTCAAAAGTTGGAGGAAGATATTCAGTCATTAAACAGTCTACAAAACATATGCCGTAGATTACATAAAAGACTATGTACAATATAAAAAGAGCTGAAAACAGTCTCCACTGTAAAAATAATTTAAAACAAATTTTTCAATTTAAAATATCATCTATAGCACAAACACATATCATGCATATGGAAAACTAAATATACTGCATTCTTTAGTGTAGCCAAATAGATTGAGACATCTTTTACATAGGAAAATGGCCATTCAGTACAATTTCTTTATAGGAATGGACCTAGCTGGGGGGTTTTAGGCTTTAAAGAACAGCTGTATTTCCAACCCTTTTTTTATTCTAATAAATAGTAAAGCAATGTATGAGTAGTCTAGTTTGGGGATGTTGGAAACAAGATCAGGAAAATAAATGCCAGCTGTGCAATTATATATGGTATGAATGCTGTTAAAAGGCTAGACACTTATGCAGCTGAGAAAGTTGACCTCCAGTTTTAAGGCAGGCTAAGCTTTTAAATAAACATATAGGAATTAGCTTCATACATTAACTATTTTGCTAACAGACGTTACTTCATGTTCATCTCCATAATACTAAGCTAGTAGTTTGGTGTTTACGACACCAAATTCTCCCAATAGGAGCCGTGCAGTGTGTCTCCAAAGGGACATGTACTTTCTGGCTGTTATAATTAACATATACTTTGGAATTTTAACTCAGGGCCTGTTGCTCTCATTAATAAAAAGAAAAACAGTCCAAAATATTACACATTCCCCAGTAGAAGTACCATTATTACAAATTCAGAAAGGTTTTTGCATATTCACATCTTGGCAGTTTAATACTTTTGGAAAAGGACCAGTTCAGGTTCTACCACAGTGATAAGTATTTAAACAATGAAAAATATTCTCAAAGCTAAGGGGATTTCAAGCAGGCAGTATTGTTTCTAAAGCAACTGAAACATTTCCAAAGCATTTTTCAGTTTTATGAGCCAATGTAGACATCACTACATGTCTTCAGGAGCCACCAAAGCCATCTTCCTTTGAATATAATATTCCTGGAGCTCTTAGCACTGTTTTCTGAAAAGCAAGCACCAAGCCCTACTTCAAAGACAATTGCATGTTCTCCCATATATCGCAAACTCACTTTTACTCACATTGCATGTATGTCACTTGAGATTTTTAAAAAGTTAGCTGCCACAAGTTTTGGAAAATGCCAGTGTTTAAAAATGGGTAATTGTGCTAAAGAACCAGAAGTTTAGCAGAACAGAGATTTAAGGATGTTAAACTGTTTGACGTTACAAAGGAAAGTGTGAAAACACCATTCTTTGGTCTAGATAAAGCTGTTCCCTTCACATTAATTTTAACATTCCAATGGCTTTTTGAAAACTTTAAAATGTTGAAAATCACTAGGTAAAAACAAAATTATATATACATATGGATGTATCACACAAAGGAACTTTTACAAAAGAATGTGAACATCTTGACCAAGAGCTGATTAAAGATACTTAGTACCTTTAAGGCAAAAAAAAAAAAAAAGTTAGTGTTGAGTGTACAAATATAGAAATAATGAAATTATCCATGAAGAAACAACCTATTATCTGTCTATAAATATTACATCTTTCTGGTTTCCTTGCTCTATTGAGTTCACAAGTAAACATTCATTTTGACATGCTAAAGTTCCTAATGCTGGTAGAACAATTCTTGTACCTAGTACTACTATTACATTATGATTTGGTTGATGAATAGTTAATGTCCGCTGCTTCCTGTTTCACAGATAAAGCTTCATTAATGGCCTCTTGATCACTTCCATCAGTCCCAAATCCAGGTCCTCCGGGTCTTTCTGAAACATCAACATCATCTTCCAATCCATTGTAGAATTCTTCAATCTCACTTTCATCCTCCAAGGGCTCTTCTAAACTTGGGCTGTGGCACGTTCCACTATCACTGTTACTGCCGCAAGAACTAGAGGATAGGACATCATCTTCAGAATCTGAATATACCTCTGCGCCATGGAAAATATAACGATTTGGTGGTAAAAACAGATACTGATTACCTGAAAAACGGGAAAAGAGGAGTTATTTTCAGTTTTGTAAAACTAAAATTACGGTCACCTGGGTAGCCTATTAAGTGTAATTTTCAACTGTTCTGGATTACATTACTAGATGTCTTAAGTATCATTACCACATCTCATTACTAGTGTTTTGGGTTCTTATTTCTCAGATCATAGTCCTAAACACACCTGACTAGATTTATAAACATGGGCAATTGTTTCTGCTTCAATTTCCTCATCTAGAAAGATAGGAAGAAATGTAGAAAACTGTTCTTCAGTAAAGTTATTTAAACAAATTCTTTTAAAGACTATGAGAAAAATTCATGTTCTTTATAGATATCCTTAAGGCATTTACTATAAATGTTTTTATTTAACCTTTTCCTCTACCTAGTTTAAACCTAAAGTGAGGATTGTCCATCTGTGATGCGATGTGTGGTCTGGGACACCGAACATCACCTGGGAAGCATACTCTTTTAGATTCTCAGATCCTACCACCCACCTTCTTAGAAGGGTATCTGCATTTTTTCCCAAGAGTCCTGCTGCACTACAGATTGAGCGCTGATTTAGCACTGGACTTTAACCTTCCTTCCTTCCCTATACTCACAGTGTAATAATTCACCTAAGATGGTCAGGAAGTATAAGTTGCCTGACTTATTTGGCCTACTGCCCTCTATCTGGAAGAAAGAATTACAGTGCCACCTGGCAACTGAAATCTTTTTTGACCCATACTCCACAATAAAATGTAGGTATATGCTTTTGCAGCCTCCACCCACCCCCCAACCCTGGATAATTCCAGTGCCCTCCCGGGGGCCAGTAAAGCTAACTTTGGGAAAACTGGTCAGAAGACTCCATTACTTCTTCCCTTAATCCATGGATCTCAGGCCAAAAAATCTTTTAAGAGATTCTTAGAGTGACACATGTAATTTGGGTTAGCTTCTTTTGTTTAAAGTAAATGGAAAGGAAATTCGAACTTTCTTAAGTGTTTTCTACCCTCCAATTCAAAAGCAGTTCTTTGTCTATTGCACCATATCCCACACTGATTCACAAAAGCCTGATTACTACAGTCACCTACCCAAGCAAGTGGGTTTCAGACATTTTTGTACTGCATCATGACCCAGTACTCACCCAGACACAGCCTAATGGAAATAACTTTTTAAATGCTGATCTGAATTGATTTTAAAGTTTACCTTATAGAATAGAGATCACAAGCTGGATAATATTAGTTAAGCCACTAGTTATTAATTTGTATGGTTGGAGTAGGGAGTCAAGGGCCTGAATGCCAGCTATAACAGAACACATCCAGCACTCATTGAATCACTTCCACTTCGCTTTTAAAGGGTCCCAGAATACAGCTGTCCTGCACTTCTTTTTTCAGTAGTTTAGACCCATGCTCCTAAAATGGTTCATTTTGCATTGTTTCCCAAGCCTGTCTGGGCCTTCTTGGCAATCATCAAGACAAATACAACATTATCTTTGTATATGTTCCCACTTTTTAGCCTTAACTTCACCTCAAACATTATTTTCAATTGTAAGGTCTGTGCTACTTCAACCCTTCTTTACAAATTAGGAAGTTGATGTGGATATGAGACAGCTCAGGTCTATCTGATTCCAAAATATATTAATACCAAAAAAATGCCCACTCCAGATTTAATCTTTCGTTCCTCGAACAAAGAATTTGTTTACCACATCTGTCAAAAAGATATTCAAAATAGGTTAAATTTAGCACCTAATTATTTGATCCCTCTTATGATCTGTTTTAAACAATGTTCTGGTTTTAATGTTTTCTGCTTTTCTATTGAGTTTTGTTTTTAATCGTTAAAAAACGACAATCCATACATCAATTGTGTAAAGCACATTTGTACATTCATTGCCCTCGTCATTCTCAAAACATTTGCTCTCCACTTAAGTCCCTGGCATCAGGTTCTCATTTTTCCTACCTCATGAGCCCTTGATAATTTATAAATTATTATTTTGTCATATTGAGGTTTTTATGTTTTACTTTGTTACTGTTGTTTTTAAATGTTTTTCTGCATATGAAATCCAGGATAGGTCAATCTATAGAGACAGTAACTGGATTAATGATTCATTGGTTCCAAGGGTGGTTGGGGAGAAATGGGGAGCTAATAACAATGAGTACAAGAACTAGGTCTAAAACTGACTGTGGTTATGATTCTACCACTTGTCTTGATGTGACTGAGCTACTGTATGATAGGAGAATTATATACCAGTAAAACTTACCAAAAAAGTTTTTTAAGACAGTCAAAGAAAATTCCCAGTACAAAAAGGTAAGCCAACTTTCTATATATTTGTATGACTTAATTAAAAAATGTTGCTGTATCTACTGTATAGTTCTAAAATGTACTAATTTCAGTCCTTAAGATTATATTCAAAATGGCATATACGAGGGGGTACCGATTAAAAAAAACCTGGATGTGATGTGAAGGGGCATAGTGCATTTGGCGTTCGTTCCACCAAGTCAGACTGTTAAGCAAGCTTTCTAATTAGAGGTTCTGAAACGGGCATAAAAGTGCAACAAAAAAGTCCTGATTTGTGGCAGATGGGACTGGTTTTGCCTCCACGACAATGTACCTGCTCACACAGCCATCTCAGTGTGACAGATTTTTGGTAAAAAAAGAAACAGCATGCCTCTCTTGTCCACACACAACTTACTTACCTGACCTCGCTTGCTCCATGTGACTTCTTTTTGTTTCCACGAATGAAGAGGAACATGAAAGGTCAGTGATTTAACGAAGTAGAAAAGGTGAAGAAAAAAAACGAGGGAGGTGCTGTCAGCCATTCAAACAGATGAGTTTGAAAAATGTTTCCAAGAATGGAATTGCAGATTTGACAAGTGTATTAACTATAATGGAGGGTACTTTGAAGGTGATAAAGGTGGTTTTGTAAAAAAATTTTAAACATAGCTTTGAAAAAAAATTCCATTTTGAGGGACACTCCCTCGTATGCACTTATTTGGGGAAATAACTTTTATCAGAATTCAAAAGGATCCTTTATCCAAAAAAACTGGTTGATTAATCTATTAATTCTTTATACTAACAATACCTAACCCAAAGAAATGGCTCAGGAAGTTGTATGTTGTTAACAGAAGTAAAAAAATAATTTGCCACGTTAGCGAAAACAAACATCCTATCCTTTTCTTAGCTTTACTTTGAAAAACTTTCCCTACTTTTAACTCCATATTTATTGATAAAAGAGAGCTTCGAACCAGTTCTACTTGGATCAATCATGGCTGATGAAGCGAAACCGGAAAAAGACCAAATCTGCAAAATATAGTTGTGTACCAGACTCACAGGTGGAACAGAAAAAATTATGGATTGAAACTATAGCAACCCAATCTCTTGACTGGCAGTCAGAAGTATCACTGCCCCAACACAAAGATGGCAGGAGGTCAAGCAACAGCTGTGAATGTCTGTCTCTTGCCGGTCCTAAGGGCCTTACTATATATACTATGCTTCTTCTGAATCTGCTTTTCTAGTGCTTTGGCCTATAATCTGTCCCATTCTGGTACACCAATCTGTCCTGGCTTCATTCTATCAGCCATGGTTGAAGTAATCCAAACTGGTTTGAAGCCCTGTTCTCAAGGCCAGTGTATTTTAGAAAGCCTTCCAAAACCAATAGTAATATACTTTTGTTTCACACCTCAGCAGCACATGTACTAAAATGGATTAATGCTCATCTCCTTTTAAAATTATACACAAGCATCATGTGATAGGTAGGCTTATTGTGCCAACCTGCCCAATGATCACACGTGGGATTAATTGAAGAGCAGAGATAAACTGCTCAGCAAGCCTCACCTGTCTTGTCTCTTCCTTTGATCGTAAGACCAGTGTGTGGCTGCCTTAGCTTGTTCTCTGACTCAATTTACAAGCTACACTACCTGTGGGTGTTGCTGTTACTTTGAGGTTCCTTCAAGACCTGCTTCGCCACTCTACCGGAGTATACATTGCTTGAGCTGGGGACTGTCCAACCCTGTTATCTGACTGACTGTTGGTAACCTGCCTTGCTTTTTGCTGCCTGTGCCCGGATAGACTGAATTGCTCTACAGAGGACTTAGCTGTCTCTACTTCCTGGTGGTCCTCAAAACTAGGACTGCCAGTGTATTAGCTGTCTCACAGAAGTGAGTTTCACTGAGTCACTTGTACTGCTCTTATAGATTGTTTATTTCTTATGTTATGATTTATACCTATCTATATAAATATATATAAAATTATAAGTGTCCTGGTTTGGTTTCTCTAGAGACCCGTCTTAACATACATCACTAGATTGTGAAAGCCTATCATCCGCTGATCCGTGCATCCCTAGGACTTACAGTGCCTAAATAAGGGACCCAACATCTTAGACCCTACTAAAATTTACTTACTAGCAAATGGTGTCAAAAGGTCTACTCATTTTCCACCAATTATTAGTAAATGGAATGGAACTTAAATGTTCCAAACTGTATAAGTTGCTATAATTAGAATGAAAGAAGTGGATTTTCCTTGTTTTTTTTTTAAATTGCATTGATAAACACTATTTTCCATGATCATTCTTAGATTTAACCATTCTTCCCAAATGCTTAGTCATAATAGTAATTGGTAAAGACTGTCAATTGTGTTCCTGATACTCAGAAGCCAATCAGAGAACTGTGACAATGCAGCATAATGGCAATGAGGGCAAGAGCCCTGAGGACAGACAAGGATCAAGGTGGGCCACTTCCCAGTTATTACACCCCTTGGTCCTCAGTTTTCCCACCGGTAGCTGAGAAATAATAGTTCCTACCGCACAAGGTAAAAACTGACACACAGCAAGCCCAGTGCTTAGTCATTATTTCTACTAGCTGAAGTTTAACAGATAATGGCAGAGCACACAATTTTATTCTTAATCTAATGCTCATCTTATCTTCCCTTCTGGAGCAACAATATGCAGAACAGACTGCAGTATGCAAGATACTCACTAGTTTCTTTGCCTCTAGCATACATTATGGTCTTCAGGGTTTTTTTTACACACAATGAACTCTCCTCATTCAGCTGCCAAAAGCTAAATTGTTAATTTCTTGCAAACATTTTTCTGTAATAATTAGCTTCCAAAATGGTTCAACACCCATTCTTACCATCAAGACGCTTACTAATCTGCTCCTTTGCAAGTCGAATGGGCCAGCACTTCCTCACTGTTTCAGCAACTGAAGTTCTTTCGTTTTTCTCTCCAATATTGGAACCAACATTCTTCAAATCTGCATTCTCCAACTGTTCGGTCATACTTTCAATGTTCCTAGTAGAAAGCTGTACTTCCTGTGATTTTTCTTCCATATATTCTTTTGATTCTGACACATTTGAATCAGTATTACTCTTAGTTGGGTCTAAAAGTGTGACAATCACTGAAGAATCTGGTGGTGAAGTTCTTTCTGGTGAACTTGAGTCTTCTGAAATATTAAGAGGTGTGGGTGGCAATTCTGACAACTGAACCAACTCCCTTTGTGTTCGTGGAGGTTTTTCAGTAACTTCAGAAAGTTTTACCGGGTTGCAACAAAGTTTGGCATATTCACCACCTAGCCTATGACACAATTCATTAATTATGACATCACAGTCTCCAAGAAGCTCTACATCAAAATGCAAATGCGGCAAAGGTTCCCTATTAATTAATATCTGAGGCACATCATGGGGTATGGAACCTAAAAACGAGGGAAAAGGAGCTGTTAGAAAAAGGGTAACGAAGCTGTGTTAGTCTAGGTAAAAATTAATTAGGGTCCTGGTTTTGTTTCTCTAGGGAACCCTGTTTAACATAAAGCAATCTAATCAAGTAACAACAAATGTGCAAAAATTTAACATAGACTTTCATAAGAACCCAGAACCAAGTATCAAAAGAAACTCTCCATACTTAATCAAGGCATTAAGCTTACCTAGTAAGCAAGTGAGCATTTAAATCATCTTTTATGAAATTTTAGTGTCTGTCCTATCACCTGATAAACATTTTTCCATTTTGTATCTAAATTTCATCATTTATATAATGGGGATAATAATAGCAGTACTTTTTCCACCTGGTTGCAATAATTCGGGTCAAATCAGCATTATTCTCATTCTAATGAAGTAGCTCCTGCTGTAACCAATAAAAATACACACTGTTGATTCAGACTCATAGTGGCCCTGTAAGACAGAGTAAAACTTCTCCATAATCCTTCCAAGATTGCAAATCTTTACAGGTGCAGAGATCCTCATTTTTCTCCCCTAGAGTACCTGGTGGGGCTAAGTTGATAACCATGAGGTTAGTGGCCCAATGCTTAGCCCAATGCACCACAGGACTCCTTCCTGCATGTTCCTGCACCATCTTCACAATTGTCATCCTTTGAATCCACTGTTGCAAACACTATGTTAATCCGTCTCTACTTCATGGCACAGAGGATAAAAATACACATCTATTCTAGCTATAGGAGCCCTAGTAGTCTACTGGTTATGCTTTGGGTTGCTAATCCAACAGTCAGTAATTTGCAAGCACGAGCTGCTCCTTGGGAGAAGGTTCTACTCCCTATTTGCTGGTGTGGGAATCTAGTATTGATTAGGGGTTGGATATTCTCTTTCCTTCCTCGCTTTGGAGAACATATCTGCTAAATAGTCCCTATTTTCCTCTTCCTAGTTTTTACATTAGCAGAAGAGTAAAACGAAGTGTGGAAGCAGCTGTTAAAAAAATGTTCTTTTAAAAAAAAAAGGACCTTAAATTGTATTTGGACCTTTTTATAGACACACTTGAGGGTAATCCAAATCTACAGACCATCACTATGGCATGGGATGGCTGTTATTCCTATAAGAATGTACCAATCACTTTGAGCCTCTAAACACCACCCTTTTTGTAAGTACATTACTCATGTATCATCTATTCATTTGAACTTATGAAACCTGAAATCAAGTAAGGTTGAAAGATGAACAACTCCTTCCTAGGAATACAATCTGCTAAAATGCGTTCAACTTTTGTGTGGCTATTAATGAATTCACTAAAATTGAAAGTATATAGGTCAAGGAGTGTTTCATAACTAGCTCCTATCACATTAAAAATATAAAATGAACTGTTTACTTTTCATGTAAATTAGACTCTATCACTTAACTTAAATATTCTCCCAGCCCCAAGGTTAAGAAGGACAATGCCAACTAAAAATTAAAACTAAGCTCTTCATAACTCTAACCCAAAGCAGGAAAAGATTACCGGAGTCTATTATAATTAGTAATTATTAATATATCAGAGTGTATAAATTCTTTCACAACGCATGGCATGTAAGACAGAAACATTCTCCAAACACTATCACCAACTTACTTGGAATCAGTGCTACTGGTCTTACTTTCAGGGAAGACCCAATAACAATGAGGAGATCAACTTCATCTTTGTCATACTTCATGGCTCTATGAAACTGTTCTGGTAAATTCTCACCAAAAAAGACAATCTCTGGTTTCATGATAGCAAGTGGTTCATCAGCTGGGCACCTAGGACATCGAGGAACCACCTGCATTTTATGTTCCAGATTTTGAAGGGGAAAGAGAAAAAGAGAAAGCCCAAATTGATTTAGTCAACACTTCCACATTTCCCAAGAATTCATTTCCAATTATCAAAGAAAACACAATCAGAAAAGTTAAATAGGTAAACCAAAAGAAATCCAACTCACTGCCATGGTGTCAATGCCAGCCCATAGCAACCCTATAGAACTGCCCCTGTGGGTCCAAAGACTATACGTGACTATAACTCCATTTAAAAACATCTATCACATCATTCCAGTTCAATCATATCCAGCAGAATTGTACAATTGCTACTACAATCAGTTTCCAAACATTGTTTTTCTACATGGACTCCTTGACATCTCCCCTTCACCTCTCTCCACCAGTTAACACCGCCCTCCAAAACCCTTAGTCTACTTGCTGTCTCTATAGGTTCATCAATCCCGGGGTTCATATATGACCTCCAATGACATAACACCTCTACGATAACACTCTAATATGGACAAGCAAAAACCAATCAGAACAGTACAAACCAAAGATACCCAATTTGGGAGACCAGATGAGGTCCACTATTCATTGTAAGGGGGGAATCTATTGACAGGACTATAACTATTTGCGGGAGTAGAAATCGCCGTCTTTTTCCAGAGAAGGAGCTGGCAGTTTCGAACTACTGGCTTTGTAGGTAGCAACCCAACAAGTAACTATTATACAACCAGGTTGCCACATAGGTAAATAGGGAAAATTAGATATAATCTAAAGATTAGTTAATAAATTATAGGTATCATACAATGAAATACTATGCCACTGTTTAAGTTCTGTATAAAACTAGTACAGCTGATATTCTAAAGTCCCTAATATAGTAGGAGGAAGGTTTTCCATACATAAATATAGGAAAATGTTTATGGGAAAAAAACTTTCTTTAAATTGTCCTTGTGTTCCTAGGTAAAAGGTGTACAGCTGGTCTTAACTTCAATGAGAATCAGTACTTTACAAATAAGTTGAAAAATACAATTATTTCATTTTAACATACTAACCTTCCTTATAATTACATATAATTACATATGCATGCAGGTAAGTATAATGACTTGGTTTTTAACCTATTTTTAGTTACCCAAAGGGGCTCCAAACAATTCATGAAAAAAAAATTAAGTGGAACTTTTCCACAAACTATTTGAAGTCCCCTGTTCTTCCAGAGGCGCCCTGGTGGCACAAGTGGTTATGGGTTGTGCTGCTGACCACAAGGTCAGTAGTTCAAAACCACCAGCTGCTCTGTGGTAGAAGACAAAGCATTCTACTCCCATCAAGAGTTACAGTCTCAGAAACCCAGGGTAGAAGGGGACGTTCTACCCTGTCCGTCCAATAGGGTTGCTATGAGTCAGTTAGAATCAACTTGATGGCAGTGAGTTTGCTTTTGGTTTGGTTGTATCTTCCTATATGTTTTCAGTGAACATTTAATTCCTTAAAGCAGTCACACAACTAATTTAAAATTCTAATCTAACAGGCACTAAAAGAGTAAAGTAAAAAAAAGAGCCAAAATGACAACACTTTTGCTTATGTGACTGCTTTCTGTGTTCAGTCTTGGAGAGTAAGAAAGCAATTATAGCATTTTGAGAGAGATTACTTTGGAGCAATGATTTCTAGTTAGGTATTAAAAAATTCAGGTGTATTTTACTGGAATTCCTAATACTAATAACTTTCTTCGTGGGTTTTTCTACATCACAAAAACATCTTTACTCCCTAAAAGAGTAGATCAGAGTAGACATAATGGTTAAAAATATAGGTGATAAATTTACCTGATTAAAAATATCCCCTCGTACAGCTTCACAGTCAACTTTATATTTACAAATCAGGCAAGATGCTGTTGCAAAGGATCCTGAAAACCACCAATATATATTTGCTTTATTAGAGAAGTCAGTTTCATTTCTTAAACATACCAAATATGTTTAAGACTATAATACAAACTTTGACACCAGGAGAGCTTCATGGTTTAGAGAGACAACTACTACGAGAGTCAAGAGGGTGATGTAAAAAACAAAAATCCCACAAATAAAGAACCAAATCACGAACTGCTGAGACAGAAGATAATGATGCTGCTCTTAAAAATTCAACTCCTTTGTTCAACAGTTGTGGTTAAGGAACACTTTTAGATATTTAAGAAAATTGCTAATAAACTATTCATACTCTAGATTGAAATGCTTCTCTATTTTTAAATTCGATCACATCTAAATTACAAAGGTGTACCTCCCAAAAAACCAGAGTTATGCTGGGCAGTGTTCATAGTACACATTTTTCCTGCTAGGTGAGCATCAATCAACTTGCTCAGAGTTTGTGCATTAGTGGCGTTGCATTGGAAGGTTCTCTATGGGTCAGTGAAATTTTTGTAAAAGCAGTTTCATTCCAACCTCAGTTTTTGTGATGGGTGATTTAAAGAGAACAGCATGTGGCTGTGAAATTGTTTCCCACTCGGGAAACATTCCACAGAAACTGTTGTGATGTTGAACACAGCTTATAAGAACAACACTATGGAAAAAACTCAAGTGTATGAGTGGTTTTCTCATTTCAAAAATGGTGAAATGTCAATTGATAATAAACCTTGTCCTTGACATTCATCAAACAGAGGAAAATGTCGACTTATAGTACATTTAGAGTTCGTTCCAGCAGGTCAAACTGTTAATCGAGCTTTCTATTTAGAGGTTCTGAAAAGATGGTATGAACAGCGTGTGACAAAAAGGCCTGATATGTGGTAGACAGGGGACTGGTCTGCCACTAGAACAATGCACCTGTTCATGCAGCCATCTCAGTATGCCAGTTTTTGGCAAAAAATAGCATGTCTTTCTTGCCCTGAGCACCGTACTCATCTGACCTCACTCCATACAACTTTGTTTCCGTGAATGAAGAAAGACATGAAAGGACAGCGATTTAACATGTAGGAGAGGTGAAGAAAAAAACGACGTGCTGTCAGCCATCCAAAACAATGAGTTTGAAAAATGTTTCCAAGAAGGGAATCACATTTGACAAATGTATTACATGTAACAGAGTACGTTGAAGGTGATAAGGTTGGGACCAATAACGAGATTAGCGATACCAGGAGGGTAAGGGGGAAGACGGGAGAAACAGGGAACCCATCACAATGATCTATATATAACCTACTCCCTGAGGGACGGGCAACAGAAAAGTGGGTGAAGGACAATGTAAGACGTGAAAAAATAATAATTTATAAATTATCGAGGGTGAGGAAGGAAGGGGGTGGGGGAGGGAGGGGAAAAAATGAGGAGCTGATACCAAGGGCTCAAATAGGAAGCAAATGTTTTGAGAATGATGATGGCAACAAATGTATAAATGTGCTTGACACGATGGATTTATGGATTATGGTAAGAGTTCTACGAGCCCCCAATAAAATGATTTTTTTTAATGTAAATACATAGCTTTGGGAGGGGGGAAATCCAGTTTTGTTTGGGTACTCCCTCATATATAGTTTCTTTGGTTTTATAAACTGAAGATGTCCTGTTTTTTCATACGTAACCAGTATCAGAAAAATTTATTTAAAAGAATTTAATGGCATGTCATTGGAATCCCTCTTGACATTATAAAGTATATTAGTACTTGATATTTCATACAATTAAGTATCAAAACCTAGATTTCTTATTTCATTTTTTTGCATTTTCCTTTTCTTAGGTTATCTGCTGTTAATCAGGTGATGTGATCAAATAATACTGCTGCATTTCTAGTCTTGTAGTCCTGGATGGCAGGCACCTTCCATAAACATACTTTTTCTTATAAAATTAATAAAATAAATAACAAGAAACAATTCTAAAGTTTACTGACCATGACACTGAATTATCCTTTGAATTCCTGCAACCTGCTCCAGTGTGTCTATGTTCTGAGTATAGTTGCGAAGTAGTTTTCCTTCTTTATCTGACAAAGCTATAAATTTGTGACAGAGAGATGGCTGGAACTGTCCGGGATATATTTCCTGTGTAAGACAAAAGTAAAAATAAAATGTTTACATTAAAGAAATAAATGAATGTAAATTGCATGTTAAGCATTTAGTGAGCCAATAAAATTCCCAATGATAATCACTCATGTATAAATTATTTTTAAAACTGTAATAATATAAGCATTTTATAAACATCTAGATGGATGCAGCAGGTTTGTACAGAAGAAATGTTCCTCTCTCATGTATAAAACTCAGCTAGTGAACTTGGCCCCTTGAAGAAATGGATTATCGTCTATTCATAAGTAACCCTAACATGGTAATATGCACTTTAAGTCAGAAGTACACACGTCAAGCGTTATCGAACTTTATTTAGCTGGCTGCAAATTCTTTTTTCTTTTTTTTGGTTAATTCTTTGTTTTTTAAATGGGAACATGGAAACTCAAATCATAGATATTAGAGACTTAAAGTTAAGACACTGTCACAACATAGGAATATTAAAAAAAAATTTTGAGTCATCATTCACTGTAAATATCAACCTGATGGAAGTTCAAAGCTGAAGTTTTAATTCCTTACCAAAATGGTTTTCCTTCCACTGCACAGGCACATACTGGTATAGCATAGTTGCTCATGAATGCTGAGTTGCTGGATTTTGTGTGTGTGTTTTCCCCCCAAATAATGCTTCAATGTTGTTTCTTCTTTAAAAACTAAGAATTCAGATATACACATGGCAAAAAGATCAGAGAAAAAGTATCAATTTTGATTCTCTCAACTTTTGACAGTGTTCTTTTATTAAATTTCATTTATTAAGTGACTATGGCAAAGGAAGTTTCTTCTCTACTTTTTTATTTAAAGTAGCACTGCTATCTACTTACTTCCTTACCATTTATGACATGTTCTATGCTATTAAAATGCCAGCAAAAAACTAGATACAACCATTATGTCCATTAAGAAGGGACTGACTGGTTGTATAAATATGGTACCATCCATAATAGAATATGCAGCCACTAAAAAGTATGGGGGATATTTGGATGCACTGACCTGGAAATACAAGTTAATCATCTGTGTACAGGTTTGTCTTTGTTATTAAAAACTGAAATTATATGCACATGCATATAGTTATGTTCACAAGTAAATCAAAGTAAAAGAGACAAACAGCTATAAACAGAGATGAGGGAACTTTCACTTCTGATATTATACCAAAAAAAAAAAAAATCTGAGCAATACATGCTCTCACTATGTAATATTTTTAATTTTTTTAAAAAGTCCTTTTTATCGACCTCTCAGGAAGATGCTTTTGGTAAAATATTAAATAAGCAAATCCCAGATACATTTCAAAGGCAACTTTACAATTTAAGAAATAGTTCATATAGGAAGAAGTAACCATAAAGAGCTTCTACAAAGCCAGTGCTTACAGAAAACAAAGTTACAGGAGATGAATCACTCCTACGATATGTCTAATTATATTAGATTACTTGGTTTGTGCTAGGAAACCCTGGTGGCATAGGGGGGGGTTACACAATGAGCTGCTTACCACAAAGTCAGAAGTTTGAAACCACCTGCCACTCCTCAGGAAAAAGATAAAAGCTTTCTACTCCCATGGAGTGATAATCTCAGAAACGCAACAAGGGCATTTTAACGTGACTCGATGCAGGGAGTTTGGGTTTTGGTTTGGATTGGTGCTTTACTGACTATTGCATTACTTTGGAATGCTTTGTTCTCAGTGAGAGGAGCAGGTCAGAAGCACAAAGATGTGTGCGACACTAGTCAGCTCTATACTTGTTTCCCACAAGTCAAACCACAAGTTTCAACCCTTAATGAAAACCAGAAGCCAAGTCTTGTACTCAGGGATAATTTCTGAAAGTCTTTCTTTTGTTTTAAAGCTTACAATTTATGTGCTAGAACCTAAGTAATTGGAGTTTTAACTGTCTATTGTCTTTCAAATATAAAATGAACCTTGTCTGTTTTTTATTTAAATTCAGTGTTGAAAATTCTCTCAGGGTCTAAAACAATGAGGAAGAAAATTATCCTGGAAGGTCTTAATAGAAACCTAAAAATCAAAAGGCTGGGGATACAACTTCCAATAGAACATGGAGTAATTCTTCCATGCTGGAGCCATTATTTGTGGTAATAAGACACAATGCTTGCTAGCCAGTTCTGAACATAGGAAAGCCCTTTAAAAAAAAAAAAATCACATGAGACAGGCTGTCCTATTTTAGTCACAGAATCTTCATAACTCACAAGTGGGCAAAGACTAGGTTTCAATGGCCTAGGAAACGCGTCATCTTGTTTCTAAACTCAACTGTGTCCAGAAAAACACAAACCACCCAGGAATGAACTACAGGCAACCAGTGAGGTAAAAAACCTAAGCCTTAGAATTGTCTGCCACAGTCAGCTTTCATGTCGAAAGCAAAGCTTTCCTCTGGAGATGGAATAGCTTCCTGAGATTTCTAATAATGTGACAGGGATGGTACTGTAGTTCTCAAAACTCACAAGTTTTGGAGCTGCCACTGTTTATGGCTATTCACCCTCCTCCTACACAGCAGAGTAAGGCCTTAACTCATCTTACTTTTACCCCCAGAGGAGGGGTAAAAGTCATCTAAACTGTCCATGCTGCCAAAAGAGAAGTGAAACAGATCAAGATAATCACTTGTTTCTTATGTCCCACAAAACCACCACACTTCAATATACCACTCTTTCACTGCCTAATCAAACTTAATACTGACAAATATGTTAGTCACCTGAACAGAAATCCAATTGCATTTTCCAAAAAGTTTACTGCCCTTAGGAACCCAGGGGTTAGGCAAGCTTTTTCTGCACAGGATGAGACAGTAAATATTTTAGGCTTTGTAGGCCACATGATTTCTATCACATGACAGCATAAAAGCAGCCATTGACCATGTTCATATAAAATGTTACTTATGGACAATGACAGAATTTCATAGTGTCCATATGTCCTTAAATAGGATTCTTCTTTTGACTTTTCCCTCCAACCATTTTGAAGTGCATTCTTAGCTCATGGGTTATACAAATACAGGTAGGAGATTGCTTTTAAGACTGGACTCACAGTTTGCCAACTTCTTTATTAACCGAATTTCACTAGCCAAGCTATTTGTTATCACTTAATGAATTTTCAGCACACATTAGCCCTAACACATGCTCTCATCATAAAGCTGTCAACCAATATGAGGGCTGGATTTTTTTTTTAAGGGTTGCCAAGAAAAATAATATACAATAGACTTGATGTGGCTCTTAAAGAAGGCCACATTATTTACTATCTGGTTCTTTATAGAAAAAGTTTGTTTTGATTTTTATATTTTTAAAAAATTAAGTTGCCAAAAATCACAGGACCCTGGAAAGTAGCAGAGCTATCATTCAATGTCAGTTCTTTAATATGCCAGTAACACCTGGCTTAATTTTTGATCCCTTCACATCTCAAATCTTCTACTTTCTTTTAGACAACACCATTTCTATTTTAGTACTGTAAAACTAGATCATTAAACACACAGATGTGTTTTGCCTATCTCCAGGGACTTTTTTCTTTTTAAACTTATTAATTGGGAATGTGTGTATGTATGTGTGTGTGTGTGTATATATATATATATATCATTCCATGATTCAAGCATGTCAAGCAGAATTGTACAATTGCTATCACAATCAGTTTCCAAACATTCTTTTTATTCCTGGACTCCTTGACATCGTCTCCCTTTTATACCACACCTCTACCGCCACTGTACCCCTGCCACCCCCAAATCCTTATTCTACTTGCTGTCCCAATAGCTTCTCCAGGGACTTTAATTTCAATCTGCCACTAATAAAAAATTACAGAGTAATTTTTCCATGAACATTTTGAAGCCCCTCATATAGCCACAACATATAGACACTCCCCAAGTTACAATTAACTTACAGGCAACCACTTCTCTGTCCGGTTGTAGTATTGTGATACTAGAAGCTTTGTCACTGGTATTTCAAATGCCAGCCGGGTCACCTTAAGTTAACAGGTTTCAGCGGAGCTTCCAGAGTAACTCGGCTCCCCATTTTGAAGGAAGGAGTCGTAAAAACCTTATGCATAGCTTTGAATCAGATAACTTGCTCTCATTTACAAATAATCAAACCTACTCTTGCTTTCAACAAATTATCACTATCACCTCCACTTGTTGTTCATGCAGCTTTTTAGCTGAGAAGTCTTCTATTCTGTTCTTGCATCAGCCAAAAAAACCTCAAACCCACTGTCATTGAGTTGACTCCAATTCATACCAAATCCTAGAACTGCTTCTAAGTTTCTGAGACAATACATTTTTATGAGTCCAGCCTCATATTCCTCCCATGGAGTGGCCAGTGGATTTGAACTGCTGACCTTGTGGTTAGCAGTCTCACACTTGAACCCATGGCAGCACCAGGAGTCCTTTTTTGCACTACAACAACAAAACAACCAAACTCACTGCCATAGGATTGTTTCCAACTCAGTGTTCCTGCGGGAGAGTAGAACTGCCCCTGTGTGGTTGTTCTGAGACTGTGTAACTCTTTATGGGAATAGAAAGCCTTATCTTTCTCCTGTAGAGCAACAGTGGTCTTGAACTAATCTTGTAGTTAGCAGCTCAGTGTGTAACCACTAAGGCTAAATGAAAAAATGACTCACCTATACATTCCACTTAAAGACACAGTCAGGAATGGATCTCCTTCATAACTGGAGGACGACTTGTATAACAAACCACACAGAGGCAGTTATGGAGGGCTCCTAGACATAGTTAACAACCCATAGGATTGATTGTCAGGGTTAAAGGTTTGGAACTATAGCCTCAGTCGTCAACTGGTGAAATATAGTTCACAACGTTAAAGTTCTAAATAATAGGTTCCCAAATTTATTGGCCTACCATATATTTTCAGAAAATAATTACTCAGCACCCCCTTGGCAATTAACTTTTTTAAGTGCCCATAACACAAGATAAAATGGAGGTGTTTGCTTTTGCAGCCCACCAGAGAAACATTGCTCTATATCCTAGTTCAGTGAGTAAGATGTCTGGAGTCTTTTTTTTTTTTTTTTTAATTAAAAAAAATCATTTTATTGGGGGTTCATAGTTTTTTTTTAATCAATCATTTTATTAGAGGCTCATACAACTCTTATCACAATCCATACATACATCAATTGTGTAAAGCACATTTGTACATTCATTGCCCTTATCATTCTCAAAACATTTCCTCTCCACTTAAGCCCTTGGCATCAGGTCCTCATTTTACCCTCCATCCCCGCTCCCCCCCTCCCTCATGAGCCCTTGATAATTTATAAATTATTATTTTGTCATATCTTCCCTGTCCGACGTCTCCTTCACCCACTTTTCTGTTGTCCATCCCCCAGGGAGAAGGTCACATATAGTTCCTTGTAATCGGTTACCTTTCCAACCCACTCTCCCTCTATCCTCCCAGTATCGCCACTCACACCACTGGTCCTGAAGGGATCATCTGCCCTGGATTCCATGTTTCCAGTTCCTATCTGTACCAGTGTATATACTCTGGTCCAACCAGACTTGCAAGGTAGAATTCGGATCATGATCGTGGGGGTGGAGAGGAAGCATTTAGGAACCAGAGGAAAGTTGTATTTTTCATCATTGCTACATCGCACCCTGACTGGCTCGTCTCCTCCCTGAGAGCCCTCTGCAAGGGGATCTCCAGTGGCCTACTAATGGGCTTTGGGTCTCCACTCCACACTCCCCCCATCATTCCTATGGTAAGATTTTTTGTTCTGATGATGCCTTATACCTGATCCCTTCGACACCTCGTGGTTGCATAGGCTGGTGTGCTTCTTCCATGTGGGCTTTGTTGCTTCTGAGCTTGATGGCCACTTGATTACCTTCAAGCCTTTCAGACCCCAGACGCTATACTTTTTGATAGCCGGGCACCGTCAGCTTTCTTCGCCACATTTGCTTATGCACCCATTTGTCTTCAGTGATCCGTTCGATACCTCATGATCACACAGGCTGATATGTTGTTCCATGTGGGCTTTGTTGCTTCTGAGCTAGAGAGGTCTGGGGTCTTAAAAGCTTACCAACAGTGATCTAAGAAACAACTACTGGTTTCATATAGAGCAAAGGAGAACTAAAGGCTCTAAAGTCTCAAAGAAGAAACTAGTCCATAGGACTTACAGTCTATATAAGAAACCTCACTAGATGGTGCCCAGCCATCACTACTGACTTTCTCTCCAGGGACACAATAATAATTCCCATAGAGAACGGAAGAAAAATGCAGAATGAAACTCAAATTCCTATAAGAGGTAAGACTATTAGATCAGCAGGGACTATAAGAACTCTCAAAACTCATGCCCCAAGAAAATTTTTGAATATGAAATTCAAGCTAGAACGGGCTATCAAAGATCTTGTGGAAATATTCCATTATGTTCTAATTCCATTTTTTCTGTGAACTTTTGGAATTGAAGCCCCCTTGAATTTCTGTAAGTCACTATTTCAGTCAGGTAAAAGATGGGCTTATAAAATAAACCATAGCACCTAAGAGTGATGTGCTCCTTAAACAATTAATTACCTGAGACCAAATAGTCAACATTTGCCCAAAAGTAAAGATGAGATGACAAGTAAGGAAAGGAAGATACATCAATGGAAGCAGAACAAACAGTGAAATTAATGAGATTCTGACCAGTTGGAAAACTCGCAACAAACTGAAAAGAATTTGCCTAAAAATTATTAAATGGAAAGCAATTTGCTACGTAAACTTTCATAACAAAAAATACATAATGTTCTCTCAGTTAAAAACACAATGTTCTCACAATACGTATGAAAAATAAAAATATCCCAACTGGATAAAATTGGCAAAGAACAAACAATTCAATTCAAAGACAGCCAGCCACATGACTAAATACAGTCACCTACACTAGTAAAAAAAAAACAGAACAATAACACAACCATGAAGAGATGCTTATTTTTCACCTGACAAGTTGATAGTTTCAAAAGTATGTTAAAAACAACCTAGATAGCCATCATTTGGGGACTGGTTAAGCACTGAAGTATTTTTTAAAAACTAAGTATATATTAGTTACATGCCATTATGAAACTAAGAATATTAAATGGAGAAAAAAAACCAAAGTAGCAAGAAGAGTATGTATGATTCTACTAATCATTTTTTTGGGGGGGGTGGTAAGTATGGTTAAAATCTGACACAACCTTAAGCACACACAAAAACAGGTATACTCAAGTTTCTTGTTCTGGAAGGGTACTCAAGAAACCCGTTTACCCACATTACCTCTGGAGAGCATAGAGGCAGGAAAGATTAAAAAGGGAGATGCAGATTTTATGTGTTTTGAATTATTTGATTTTGTTAAGTCTGTCTGTCTCTGACACACACCATATATTTTTAGTGCTAATCATGGGTTCTGCTAGGGTGTTTTTGTGTTGTGGTAATTGAGAAATGCCATTGGAGCCGTGCCTGACCTCCTCTGGCTAAAGGGGAAAGGAGAATCCAACTCCTCATCTGCTCAAGGATAGGTTCTATGAGGCAGAGACCAGTCATGCCTCACCTTCCCTCCTCCTTACCCTCGTTCTTACACCAACCATCCCTCCCACCCCCAAGGAACTCTTAATTTGCTGCTGGGTTTAATAATCCATTGCAATGGACCCACAGGCCACACTCACAATTATGGATTTTTTTTAAGAGAAGTTAACAGATTACAACAAATCAAGATCAGAAAACATTATATGGATACAGATATTTTGTCCATAGCACTACATTTTCTGAGCTACACCAGCAGGCTATCTTTCTCTGGTCCCTTAACCTCTGCCCTGCTTGGTCCAGAGTTACAAAGCTCCTCCAGCACTAATAAATTCCAAATGAGCACCTCAATTCCAAGCCAGTCTCTGCCCTGTTTTCATGGTCTCAGTGTCCAACTGAGGTCTCTGGAGCCTCTCCCATTTCAAGCAGAGGTCTAGAAAGTGCTCCACTAGTGGCTGGGTCGTCTTTCTTGGCAAACCTGGAATTCTCTGATCTTGCCTGAGATGGCTTAGTGCAGTGGTTCACAACCTTCCTAATGCCGTGGCTCTTTAATACAGTTCCTCATGTTGTGGTGGCCCCCAACCATAAAATTATTTTCGTTGCTACTTCATAACTAATTTTACTACTGTTAGGAATCATGATGTCAATATCTGATATGCAGGATGTTTTAACTATTACAAATTGAACATAATTAAACTTAAAGCACAGTGATTAATCACAAAGCAATATGGAATTATATATTGTGAAATATTTGTGTTTTCCAATGATCTTAGGCAACCCCTGTGAAAGGGTCATTCGACCCCCAAAGGGGTTACAACCCACAAGTTGAAAACCGCAGGCTAGTGGAATGGCAAAACTAACCAATCCCAAATTCAACTCCTCTATTATACCTTTTTTGCACAATCCCTCCCAAACATTTGGTGAAAATTATAACTATGGATACAAGAGTCATACCAAGCAATTTCACTTCCCTGAAAGAGGCTGGTAGGGCACCAAGGATACACCTTTACAACAGCATATTCTAGTTCAATGTTTTCAAGGTGGCAGTAAGGCAAAACTTAAGTAAACGTTCCTTAATCAACCAGCCAGGAACATACAGTACATATTTAAGTATAAGCTGACCTGAATATCAGCCACGGCACCTAATTTTACCACAAAAACTGGATTAAAAATATGCTGGGGTGTTTGCTTCGGCAGCACATATACTAAAATTGGAACAATACAGAGAAAATTTGCATGGCCCCTGCGCGATGACACACAAATTCATGAAGCTTCCATATAAAAAAAAAAAAATATATATATATATATATATATATATATATGCTGGGAAAACTCGGCTTATACATAAGTATATACAGATTAGAAACTGAGTACAAATACAACAATATTTACATGGACCCCATCCTCCATTTTTAGGGGTACTATCCTCTATCTTTAAAGTTTCTCCTGTTATTATTTGTTAGATCCAAATTACCTCATATTATCTCTCCTATATTCTCTAATAGTTTTCTGTAATACTTAACTAGGAGTTTTCATCAGTTCCCACTGTGAAAATTTAAATATTTGACAAAAAATATATGAATAGCAATTATAAGGTTAGTTTATTGAGCTCTGACCATAGGGAAACTGTTAACTCGTTATGGGAGTAAAGAGCCCAGTTTTCTCCCTCAGAGAAGCTGCTGGTTTTGAACAGTTAGCAGCCTAACAAGCAACCATTATACCACCAGAGCTCCTTTATTTCAACTGTTACCATGTCTCAAGTGTTTTTCTTTTTTTTCTATTTTCCACTGTGAATTGAGTGAAAATCTACAGAAAATTCAGCCCTGCAATCATGTCTCAGAAACCCTGACTCCTCTCAAACGCAGTCCCCACAATGGAAATCACTTATCCCATTTCTTCCCTGTGCTTCCTGTTTCTATTCCTCCCCTTCTGAACTCTGTCTTTGAATCAATGCTGCCCTTCTGTTATCAAGTGGTTGATATCAGATGGTGTGCACACCTACCAGTATTGTTATTTGCCTGTATACACCTGTCCCTTGCTTGGGTGAAAACTGAGTCATGGAAGTGAGTTCGTTTCCAGACGTGAAGGGCTACCCAGGCCACAGTCTGAAGGTTCCAGCAGCCCTGTTCAGCCAGTGAAAAGACTGCTCTGATTTTTCACATGTCAAAATACATAGAAAGTTGCTTGAAGAAAAATTCAAAAACCAAATAAACTCACATTATCAAGTCAATTCCAACTAATAGCAACACTATAGTGTTTCCAGTGCTATAAATCTTTACAGGAGCAAAGAGTCTCATTTTTCTCATCCAGAGTAGCTGGATTTAAATCATCAACCTGATACTTAGCCCATATCACCACCAGAGCTCTAAAAGTTTAGAGTCTACCTATTCATAGGTTAACAAAAAAGCTATGATTCTAACTTTGTGAATGAGTGTTATTGAAAGTTTTGCCTTATCACCAACCCCTATTGTTTGCATAGCTGTCTAGTCGCATAGTTTAATCTGTACAAAGTCAACAATCCATGTATTGAGGTTTGAAAAGCCAACCTACCTATACTTGTACAACTTCCTTTCTCAACATTATTTTAACTTCTATACCAATGGCTGAATTAATGACACATTATCAATAGAATTATCTTATGTCCCAATACTAAGGACAAATGGCTGGGAGGTAGTGTAATCTGAACTCCCCGCAGTGAAGCAAACCAAGAAGGGAACATAACAGATCAGCAACCAGAGCAAAGCAAAGCCACAAAGTCCCTAAAGAGTTCAGGCTAGGAGGGACAGCTCCCAGAATTCCCCCATGACCAGTGGGGACACAGTCATAAAGGTCAGCAGATAGACCTGGAACGATGTATGTTTTTTTCTTGTCTTTTTTCAATCTTTTGTTTTCTTTTTGTTCCATCTATGTTGGTTAGCCTACTTTTATAAGATAGGCATGGGAAGCAAGCTTAAGGAGAGCAATGGAACCAACAGTCCCAGAGGTACTTGGGGGAAGAAGGTGGAGGGAGAAGGGTGCAGTGAGCAAACACCACCACAAACGGGAATAACTAGGGAATTAAAAACAAGGAGGACATAGAGATCCTGGGGGTGTTGGAGCAACAGCAATCTAGCTGAAAGGAAGTACTAAGAGGCGAGAAAGTTGGGCAAGCATGATGGTGGGGCAGGAGGAAGGTAATAGGAAATAGGAACGATCTAGGAAGCAAAACTATGGATAAGTAAAAGCATAGGTGTATACATATGTAAACACATTAATCCATAAAAAGAGGTATTGGCCTATGTAAATATATTTATACGGTAATACACTCAAGTAGTGGACTTTGGGCCTTTGCTCATATCCTCCCACAATACAAGAACACTTTTGCTCTAACAAACTGATATCCTGTGATTCTCATCCTCCCGGAATAATCACTGAAGACAAAATGGGTGCATAAGCAAATGTGGTAAAGAACGCTGATGGTGCCCAGCTATCAAAAGATACAGCGACTGGGGTCTAAAAGGCTTGAAGTTAAACAAGCGGCCATCCAACAGTGAAGTCCACATGGAAAAGAAGCATCTCAGCTTCTTGAGGTGTCATCGGGACCAGCTAACAGGCATCAGAAGACGCATAACAAATAAACAAAAACATATTGTTGAGAACAAGGAGGTTCAGAGCAAAGACTCAAAGCCCATATGTAGACAACGGGAAATCCTCACCCCAGAAGGGACACAGGAAGGAATGCATGAACCAGGGAGCAGCAAAGCACTGATGAAATACACAATATTCCTCTGGTTCCTTGAGGCTTCCTCATCCCCCACTATCATGACCCCAGTGCTGTCTCTCACTTCGGCCTAGACCAGAGCATATACACAGGTATAAATAAGATATAGAGCTCATGACACACAACATCCAGGAACAGAAATGGGAATAGCGATATTGGAAGGGGAAGGG